TCTTTCTTTTTTTTTTTTTTTTATAAACACTGTTTTAAAAATGTTACTTTGCAGCCGGCGGCCCACGCATCGTCTAGACCAGCAGCACCAGGCGCCATTCTTGACACCTTTCCCTGCGGAGTAAACGTGTTTCTCTTCTCAATTGTTTTGAGTTTCTACTACGTTCTAATTGTTTCGAATTTGGGAACGCTAGAGGGGATACTTGACTTTCTCCCAAAGGTCTATTGAGAAATTAAACAAATAATATTGTGAAAACAAAAAGGTACTTTATAGATAATTTAAGACATCCAAAACGTCCTATAAGAAAGCACTGCTTCTTCTATGCCCACGGGCGTGGAGGTAGATAAACCCTATTCAAAATTGCACAACGGATAAGCGATAAGAGGGGATTCGGTTTTTTCAGCACAAGGTTCTAACGCCGGTGGGATTTTGCGTTCACTACTGCCGTTTTCTAAAGAGTTTTTCTCTTTTTTCTCCTTCCCAAGGTTCGAGTCGGATGAAAGCAAGTGGCTGATAGAGAATGCCGAAGGCGAGCTCGCTACAGGTTTGGTGGGAACAGTACTAGTAACCGGAACGGGGACGGGAGCGCCAAGCATCCTTTCTTCCTCAACGCTCTCTTCGCTTTGCGAGGCGGGGGATGTCCTATCGCCTTCCTCGCCGCCTGTCGCAGATTCAACAACGCTGGTCCATACTTCCGCTTTCGCTTGCTGCAATTGCGCTTGCGATGGCGCATGCTCCTCTTGTTCCTCGGACTTGAGACTGACCGGTGAGTTTTGCTGGCGCGTTTCAGCAAGCAAGCCTTCACTTGTCTTTAGTTTCTCTTCATAAACAAGCAATTTCTCTTGTCATTGAGTCAATTGCTGTTTGCAGTCTTTGAGTTGATGCTGAAGCGTTAAGATGGTTGACTGCATGCCCTCAACTTCCTCGTCTAGTTGGATAACGAAGTCGTTCAAGTCTAAAACGGGATAATAATCAGTAACTTAAATTTTAACGATCAGAAATTTTAATTTCAGTAATTTTACACAGGAATCAATATCAGATACATGTAGATGCTAAAGGAATAGCCAGCGACCATTTTGTTGTTGTCACTGCTGATGTTGACATTAAAAGCTGGCTTAAGGTCTTAAATAAACAATGTTTCTTTTATCTTACAATGATAATCTGTTTTGCCAGATGCTAAGATTTCAAAGTGATCCCATTTAATGTTCAATATGTCCGGTGGCAGTGATATGGTCAGCAATAGCTGAAGACTGATCATTTTTCTGTTAGGGACTTGAAGTGTTCAGTCTTGCTATCTTGGAGCCGTCGCTTAGTTTTACCCGAGCGTAAATATCATTACAATCCTAACAACAAGCTTTGTAAATGACTTTGGATCTTTGAGAGCGAATAAGGCGCTCCTTGTATGGAAAGAAAGATTTAATACGGCAAGCGTTTTGAAAAATTATCTTTAAATTAACACAAGTGTAAAACTGGTAAATACAGGATTTTATAAGTTTAGAAATTTGGTTGCTTTGAAGACCTAAATAAGGTAACAAAATAATAACATCCTTCTAAGGGACCATAGAAAAAGGAACAACTCGCTTGTTTCGGTTTCGTTCCAAAACATCATTGACGTGGAAGTTGATTTTTCCTTGGGGGTAACCATTCTGAAGAAGAACTTTTCTTAGATCATCCAGGGCAGATTGTAGCAAAGAAAAGGAGGAGCAAATTTGGTAGCAACGATAAGTCAGAGTGCGGATTAAGTTTAATAATAATATTTTGTATTTGCGAGGACTGAAAGAGTCTCATTTAGTATAAAAACCCGTGAATGTCTTTTTCCGGGTAGACAGATCCTAAAGATGGTGTTGGGGCCGCGTTTTACTAGGATATCGAAAAACGGAATTTCGCTGTCATGTTCAAATTCAATGGTAAACTTCATACTGTTGTGACGACTGTTTAAATACTGTAGAAACTCATTAAGAAAGTCTTTGTTGTTAAACATGGTGAAAATGTCATCAACGTACCGAAACCAAAGTGAAGGATAAATATTACCGAATTTCTAAGCGCCTAAAATCCTGTATTTACCAGTTTTACTCTTGTGTTAATTTAAAGATAATTTTTTAAAATACCTGCAATATTTAATCTTTCTTTCTATACAAGGACCACCTTAATCGCTCTCAAAGATCCAAAGTCATTTACAAAGGTTGTTGTTGGGATTATAATGATTTTTACATTGGTAAAACTAAGCGACGGTTCCATGATAGCAAGACTGAACACCTCAAGTCCCTAACAAAAAATGATCACTCTTCAGCTATTGCTGACCATATCACTGCCACCGGACAAAACATTAAATGGGATCACTTTGAAATCTTAGCATCTGGCAAAACATATCATTATGATTGTGAGATAGAAGAAACATTGTTTATTCAAGACCTTAATTAATTAAGCCAGCGTCAACATCAGCTGTGAAAAGTTTATGCTTTTTTAGCTGTTGCCTTTTGTATTCATTACTGTTAAGAATTTTTAAATTCCTAATCTCATCTCCAGACCCCTTGTAATTTTTGAATATATAGTCTCGTCATTTTCTTAACGGTAAGTTAAGATCACTTTTGAAAATGTATGTTAAATAGCATCCAACATACACATCATCGCATAAAAATGCGAAAACTCACAATGTTTATCACCGCTGTTTGTGTTTTATTTTTTATCTAACTACGATGACCCGAGAACTGAAAAGTTTTATAATATAATTTATAATGGTAATTGAACTGAAGGGAGTGCAATTTAGTCTGACATCATACGAAGTTCAATTACCAGTTTGTTACAGCCATTTTGAAATTAACTTCAGTCAGTAACAATATATTTATTTGATCTGGTAGCCTGTTTCAGGTTGAAAAGCAAAAACAAAAAGGCTTATACGTCTCATTTTGTACCCGACACAGACACGATGCAATATAGAGCGAAAATGGTGCGATTTAAAACAAAAGTGATGCGATTTAGAACCAGATGTGATTCGTGAATAGATCACACTGCTGAGAGCCAATCAGATTGCAGGGATCACCAGTGATTTGAAAATGGTATAATAAATGGTGAAAAATTATAGAATACTTGAAAAAATCACGGAGAAAAGAATTGTCCAAATCTTCCCCGTTGCCAAAAATTAAATTTGAATGGCCCCTAGTCAGTTACAGTACCACATTCCAAAAGTAGTGATGAGGGAAGGTACAATTCCAAGACAGAAACGTGATATTCACCATATGAGGTCATAGCCTATAAACGTCTTGCTTTGCAATTATTTATGCGATCAATCTGGCGGTAAAGATTCCTTCCAGCGGAGGTTGGACAGCTGTCACTTGGCTATTTCTGACCAATGAAATTCAAAATGCTCATAACGCACATGAGAAAACTCAAAATGTTCGTAGCTATTCTCAATTTGTGCATAGTTGTGGCTATTTAGTCAAGATTGTCGATGTCTAGCCCTAAACCTTTTGCCAACCAGTTTCCATATTATTTGTATGATCACTAAAAGGGTAAAAACTGCCTGAGAGGCCACAAGTTGCGAAAGCCTTTTCCTTGAGAAAATCCTTGAATCCCATTAGATTGGCTACACAGTGATTAGTGAAAAATAAGGCAGTTAATGCAACGATCAAATTTGAGGAAATTGTAATGGTTATGATTAAAGGAGAATTCGGTTTCGAGTAACTTATTCTAATTTCAGTTCGAAACCACGCTATTAACTTCCGATAATGATATTGTGACAGGGTCAATTTTGGTGTTTTAAATGCTTTTTGACAGTAATTCAGTTTCTTTTTTCTTAAAAATCGCAAAGTAAATTAAGTTTGTGAAAGATTTGAACCCAGCAGGAACCATTTCATAAGTAGGTTGAGTTTGATCGTCCGGGTGAACGTAGTCGTGAATAGGACCGTTTTTGTTGACAGTGACCAAGAGCGAAAGTTCTGTGTGGGTCTAGTCAAGATTGTCGATGTCTAACCCTAAACCGTTTGCCAACCAGTTTCCATATGATTCGCATGATCACTAAAAGGATAAAAACTGCCTGAGAGACCACAAGTTGCGAAAGCCTTTTCCTTGAGAAATATGAGCCAAGTCAGTTCTTTGAGCCTGCCACCACAACAAATAGAGTTGACGCGTGTTTGATTCTGCCATAAATTTTCAGATGACGTTGAAATACGGTATCAACAAGCAGGAAAAAAATGGCCAAATAACTTGCGCTTAGTAAATAGAACTCAGTGTCTAAATGCCATTTTATCCCTGGGTCATCTCTTAAACCCAACTTGAGTTACACTAGATAGTACTGTTGTACTGTGATCTCTGCCGACTCGAGCTAGTAGTTCCCAAAAGAAGAAGCCGAACGGGGAAGTTCTATCTGAAAGAATTTTAAGTTTTAATATTGACACGATCAGAAATCTTGAATGCAAATATTTCAATTTTGATATATTAAAATTCGTACTTGGCTCCTAGGCTTGAGGGAATAAAACAAATTAAAGAAACATCTTGAGGCTCAGCAATGAATTATACATTATTTTCTTATGCTTTATTCCCCCAAGCCTCAGATCAGTTTTATCGTTGGTTTATTAAAATTACATTCTCCTTTCTTTTAAACATCATTCATTACCATACCCAAATACCAACGAAAATGAGTGAAATGAAATGAAAATGAGTTAAATGAATGTGTCAAAAGTGGACATAATTGACGTAATAAATTTTTACCAATGATAGATCTCGATGTTTCACTTTCTCGAGCCGCGGGACAGGTTCCAAACATATGGATCAGATAACGTGCTTTTCAAGCTTCCTTATATCAAGGAAAACCTGAACCTGTTGACAAACACTCTAAATTAGTGACAACAATTATAAAAATCACTTCAATAACTCAAGTTCTAGCATGTTCCAGGTTCTTAAATTGCGGGAAAGACGCGAAAGAGTGGGAAGACACGAAAGTGAAAGGTACGCGAAAAGAGGGGCGGACCCGACACTATAAAAGCATCAGAATATTCAAGGGAGTGAAGCAGTCAGTGACTTAGAATCAGAGGAGAGCATAATCAGTATACCAAAAATGGTCAAAATAGGATTTGCATTTATTGCAGCTGTGGTCTTGTGTTTTTGCGGCAGCTATGCTGCGAACTTACTGCCGGAAGAACTAGATTGGCTGACAGATTTCAAATATGGAAATTTAAGGGGCCAAAGAAGCCGTAGTGAAGCCTCTCATGAGGAGGATGCTGAATTCCAAGATGATAACTTCAAAGATTACGATGGTCCGAAAGAGAAGCAAGGTTAGTTCACGGTGCTTAATTAGTTTAGTTTCTCTTTACAAAAATACAAGCTTCAACGCACCATCACAAGTACTATACTGGTACGTAATTCTTCTTCTACCTCTTTTCTCGTGTATGCATTTTGTTGACGTTTTGCTAAGGCCTGGGACTTAAGTCGTTTTTGTTTTATTCGTCACTAGATGACATGACAACAGAAAGCAAGCAACGTCGATTTATTATCGCTATATGTGGAGGAACAACTTACAACCCGACATTTCGTATGTGCTGTGGTGGTACTGTACAATTCAGGTCGGGAATAAAACCCGCGTGTTGCGGGACCCAAGCTTACGATGCTAATTTCAGGATGTGCTGTGGTGGTACTGTACAATTCAGGTCGGGAATAAGACCCGCGTGTTGCGGGACCCAAGCTTACGATGCTAGTTTCAGGAGGTGCTGTGGTGGTATTGTAAAATTCAGATGCTGACCAGTCTCAAGTGAAATAGTAGTGATGATGATGATGATGATGATGATGATGATGATGATGATGATGATGATGATGATGATGATAATGATGATGATGATGATAAAGTTAAAGATAAAGATAAAAACAATTAAGATAATAATAATGATGATAATAATAACGTAACAATCATAAGACAACATTTCAAGAAGCAGCAGTGATCTGTTCTTTAAATAATCATATTCTGTATGGAGTCATGAGAAATTAAATAAAAAAGGAAGACGCCCTTGAAATTGTCCTGGGTGCGCTTCTAATATACAAGGAAACTGGTGTCAGTTCAGTCTCTCGCAGTAGTTTTCCATTATCGAGGACTAAATATATTGAACCCCCTCCTCGCAAAAAAGTGTATAGACTTGCTTCCAGTTGGCTTGTTAGCTTAATTAATAGAGCGCTGCACCGGTATCGCAGAGGTCAAGGGTTCGAGTCCCTTACAAGCCTGAATTTTTTTCAGGCTTTCTTTTCGCAACTGCAAAAGTTGCGTATATAATTGCGATGATCTTCCCTCATATAATACTTAATATTGCCTTATATATCTTATGGACCAAGAGCATGGGGACTTGTGAGTAAATCTTCACCAGACGAAAATTTTAATCCTTCAAAAACGAGCACTTAGATTTATATTTTATGCAAAGAGAGACAAAATGGAGAGATAAACATGCTGTCCCTCTGTTTACTGATGCTGATATACTATCACTAAATTTTCTTTACAAATCCGTCTGTTGTTTAATGCACGATATAACAAATCGAAAGGTACCCAGTACCTATAGACCTTGTCAAGGTTAATTCACGTAAAACGGCTGTTCTGAATAAAATATGACTTGTAAACTAAAGTTAGAAGACCCAGGATTGTACTAAAAAATTTTGGGGGCGTACCTGTGCTTAAATTTCTCCAGAAGCTTGCTTTAGATTTTCCATATACCGTATTTATTCGAGTAAGCGCCCAACCTCGAATTAGCGCCCACCTCGAATAAGCGCCCATGCTAAAGGCAGAAAAAGTTAATAAGCGCCCAGCCTCGAATAAGCGCCCACCCCAACCCACTCCCTCCCACAAAAACTCCAATAAGAGATAATAAGAGACCTCGCGAAGACGGAGTTTTCTTCAGAGTATTTTACAGAAACCTTGCTTTGTTACATCTTCGCTTTTTGTTAGTACCATTTACTGTTTTGTTGTAAAATATACTACTACATTTGCTGAGAATGGTGAAAATTTAGTAAGCGCCCAGCCTCGAATAAACGCCCACCTCGAATAAGCGCCCACTCTCAAGGTCCAAAAAATTTAATAAGCGCCAAGGGCGGTTAATCGAATAAATACGGTATTTGTCCGGGACTTTCTTACAGAAAAATGTATAGAAAATTTAAAAAAATGGTTCTAGGTCTTCTAGCCCATGTAACGCCCGCAATTTTTTTCGGTAGAATCCTTAGGAGTGAAGCTTTAGTTTACAATTCTTTTTTTTTTTCAGAACAGCTGTTCTACGCAAATTATTCGACATGAGATTTTCATACAAACACTGTAATTTCTCACGCGTTTGCCTACTTTTTTGGATTTTCATTTTTACCATTCGATCGGGAAATGCGAAAGAGGATTTGAAAAATACAGCACGAAAAGTGAAAATTACTAAACTTTTCCCTGATTCCTTAAAGTTCCGTAAAGTTCGGAGGCAAAGCTTTACGCAAGTTTTCATAAAGGCGCGTAATATAACGCACGCGAGAAAAGTAGCGTAAAGCTAATTAAAAGCTAAACTGTCTTTCAGAATAGCGGTCTTGCACGCGCACGCATAATTAACAAAAAGAACATTGCTGTTCACTAGGACAGTTTTGCAAATCCTTTTTCGGATTTCGCAGTCGAACGGCAAAAAGGAAATCCATGAAATCCGGATTTGGATTTCTTAATTGAAATCCATCCTGAGGACGGATTTCTCGGAGGGGAAATCCGTTTTCGGATTTCGCGTTCGATTGCAAAATCCGAAATCCGGATTTCCCAATCGAACGCAACCCTAGTATTCAACACTCGGTCTTCCCCGTCAAATAACCTCTATATTAAGAAATCTCGGCTAGATATCCAAAAGAGAGCTTTTTCAAGAGTAGGAGCTAAAATTTGAAATGATATACCAGCTCCCAAAAAAACGCTTCAAAACGAGACTCCAGTCTTTCCTTGTTGATATCTGTGAAACATGATGACTATATTGATATTTCCCAAATTACCTCTGGTCTGAAAATAGAACTTAAGTCATTCAAACTTACTCAGTAACACCATGTATAGAAATGGTAATACTGAAATAACTTGTTGTTTTTGATGTGTTTAATACACCAATGACATGCTAGAAAACAAATGATGATAATCTTCTCTCACCTCATGTTGGCATTTTCCCCAAATGTGACAATTATACGATTCATCAACGGGTAAAGGCGTTTTTGTTCAAACCCCAATAAAATACGTCTTGTTTTGTCCTCGCTATGTCATACAGGAAAAATGAAAAGGAAATTTCTACAAGAATACAAGTAGTATCATTTGTACTCAGGCCATCCGTAAGGGTGCATGGCAGTTCAGATGAACGAAGCAAGCATCACAAAACTAGGAACGGCCGCCACCGCAATCTAGACAGCAAAAACACTGTTCCCTTGGTAATACCATGAAAACTAAGGATGGTAAGGAGGTTGCTTGATTACATTGTACAAAACATTGCATGAAATTCCGACAAGCCGAAAACAACAGGTTGTAAGATGGGGTTTTACATAATTCTTGGAACAGTCATAAAGTAACACTTCCTTTTGTTTTTTTCACCTCTGTAAAAAGCATTTCTCGACTAGTACTGCGCTGAATAAATTTAGTCAGCGTTTATACCAGAGGGTATAAAACCAAGGATCACACCCAGTATTAGAATTGAAAGTAGTGACTGGAAGGCTAAATGCTGTAGTGTTGTCTCTTTTGGATTAATTTTTGCTACATTAGTCAAGACGATAACAGGTTTGTTCTCTTAATATGTCATTTCGTTTAGAGGTTTATACATCAGAGCCTGTGTCTTTTAACTGAAAAAGTGTTATAAAGTAAAGGCGACACGTGTTGACTGAAGTTCGTGGCCAAACTCTTACATTCCACCATTGACGTTTAGAAGTAATTTTTATACAATTTGGATAGGTTTAGAGCAAATACAAACTGACTCAATAGTATTCATTAGACAAACTCACTTTTTTGCCTTCTACCAACAGTTCCCTGCAGCTTCTTCTCGGCTGAAAGAGAATGCGTCGAAGACTTTGGCGTGGGATCCTTCAGCCAGTCTCTGTTTCTGTCAGGTAATCAAAAGTTTTAACTTCACCGTTTTCTTAGTTAGAATCTGTTTCTTAATCTCCGAGAAATCGATATCATTTTTTGTGGCGAAAAAGTATCAAAGTGTACTGATTGTAATTGAAATGGACAATTCATACTTGGTAACGTTTTTTAAAATAATTTAAATTTTTTTGACCGATTATGATGGTCTCAAAATTATTCTAATCTAGCGCGGATCTGATGTTGATTAAGATCTCATTTTGCAATAGAAAAGAACGAATGAAACAGAAGACATTTGCCTAAAAATAACGAGAATTAAACAAATGAGAATTTGTCCCCCTTTATCTGCGTCGGTGAATTAAAATTCGCCAACTTTGAGGAAACATTATGTATAAGAAACAGCCAGGAAAACCTGTGAAGACTAAACGCACCAAGGAAATTAATTACTTTGCTAATCTATTTTGTCTTGTCACACAGAAATCTGAAAGACCGATGACGCGTCCAACGAACTTTCATTCCCTCCCGTTCAACGATGCACGTACAGAAGTCCTTGGAAAGTCCATTCCGACAAGTGAACGCAAGGCCGACAGATAAGTATATTTAATATTATAGACTATTAAGCTGTTTTTACAACTAAGGATGACGAAAATAGCCGTATTTGCGTTGAAAAAAAAAAGAAAATGAAAGATTTGAGTTTATATAATGTCAGTTTATTTTCTGTTCCCAATTGAATTTTGTTTCTCTCAGAAAAAGATCAAATAACTCGCATGCTATGATCGTATAAATTTAAAATCATTTCAGCTAAAATTTTGGCAAAAAAAATCCAGTAGGATTGATATTTAGTATAATGGAGTAATTGTGTCTCATGAACTCTTAATAAGGCTAGGAGATTTTGTGAGGTGCTACAAATTTGGGCAAAAATTCGATAGTTTTTTTGGCTTTTTTCATTCGATAGTTTTTTTGGCTTAGCCGGAGACACTATTTGAAACCGTATGACGTAATGATACGTTACTCTCGGCTTGATTCAAATGATCAGTAAAAATGCGGCATAAATACTGCATTTTTTATATTTTATTGCGATGCGCTACATGCAAGCAAGCACAATAAAGTTTAATCTTGCTTATATGCGTCTTTTGTGTGGTCTTTTGTTATTTTCGATAATTGATTACTGTTTGTTGCCGGAGTTTCTGTCGTCGGGGTCACTTAGTTTTCTGCTTTAATTATTATTTTTCAACGTTGTCCAAACTGATACCAACAAAACTTACAGATTTTCACTTAATATTTCACGACTTTTTTTTGATCAATCATAGCCGTTAATTTTTCGTTCGTTATAAAAACTTCGTTCCTAAACAAAATTCACTAGGCAAATGATTTTTAAGAATTCACTCCTTGGCATATGGCCTTTTTCAAGGGCGAGATGGGTCATTAGTCTCGATGGCTTTCAAAGTCGCTGTAACAACAGAACAGAGCTACCAATCTAGCTTTTTGAGCAAGAAAACAAGGGAAATTTAGGAAAAACAGCGGAAAGTACAATAAATATAGCAAATACTCAGGAAAAGATATAAATGGGCTAACCCATTAATAAGACTGAATCTGCCTAAGATATATCCTGAGATATAACTTAGGAACATTTGGACATTATTTTAGACATGTCCTATTTGCAAATATCCTTCTGTCTACTCTAATGTAGGCTTAACTCAGGATATTTACATGCATACCCACAGTACTGTGAAAAAGACTTGAGGACAAAATTCGCAGAATTTCGTCCAGTTGTCTATCTACTCTTTCGCCGACATTTCGTTTAATGTTGGCGATTTTAAAATATCAAAAAATACATGAAATTTCGTTTTTGCAAGCATTTTTTCGCGCTCGGCTGCGGTTTGGGTTAACGGTATTTCTTTGCATCGCTCCATCTATAGACCTCTTTAGCACGTATATTTTGTTTTCCTTATGAAGGTCCCAGGGGAATTTGCCCTAAGAGTCTTTTAAATTATTCG